TTATTTCTTATGTTGATGGTGTTTATGATGGTGGTGGTGGCGGTATTGGTGATGATGATGGTGGTGGTGATGATGTTGATGATGATGTTGATAAAGATGATGATGACGATGATGTTGATGAAGATGTTGATGAAGATGTTGATGATGATGATGATGGTGATGATGATGGTGATGAAGATGACGATGATGATGTTGATGTTGATGTTGATGAAGATGTTGATGAAGATGTTGATGATGATGATGATGTTGATGATGATGTTGATGAAGATGTTGATGATGATGATGATGATGACGACAATGATGTTGATGTTGATGAAGATGTTGATGACGATGATGATGATGATGATGGTGGTGATGATGTTGATGAAGATGTTGATGACGATGATGATGATGTTGATGATGATGTTGATGAAGATGTTGATGAAGATGTTGGTGATGATGATGTTCATGATGATGCTGATTTCCCAGGTGATGGTTATGATAACGATGTTGATTTAGATGTTGAAATTTTCCGGGACTGTATTCCTTATAGTCTTGATATATAAGTAGTTGCTTGGAGAAGCATAATAATAAAAAAGACAGCGATAGGAAACATATAGTTCTTACTTCACGACATTTCAGTGTCATCATGACTCCATTATCAAGTGATAGTGAATTACAAGTGTACAGTAGTTTAAGATCAATCGAATAAACATATAATTACTAATCATTTATAAATGATAATGGAGTCATGATAACGCTGAAACATCATTGAGTAAAAACTATGTTTTCTATCGCTGTCTTTTGTATTCCTTATAAAATATGAAATAATCATGCCAATATTGKTTGCCAAGGTTCTACTAGTGTAGATTACAGTATTGTTACAACAGTGTCAAGGTATTTYTAATGGACTAAAGTAAAATCCACAAGTCATTTTCGTTGTCTGTTGCCATGGATATTTTCAAAGAATAAATTACAATGAATTTAAAATATTAAAGGCATGGTTAAACTGGTGAACCAATCACAGTCCACCAAGCAAAGACGTGCATGTGGATTTCACATTTCAGTTTACTATTTGTCATTTACTTTTTCGTGGGAAAAAATTTAACCACAAAATAAATCTCAATGTTCATGTTAAACTGTCTGAACATTGTGTCTTGAAAACAGTGCTGTAACAATGCTGTAAAACTGYGGAACCACAGGCATAGCCATTATATGATATAATTAAAGTCAATATGGAGAGGTGTCTTATGCATGGCAATCTTGATACTTTTATTCATACTTTTATTTGTTAAGCAGGTTAACTAAACTACGCAGCCACAGGCTGATGTGGACCTGCTGTCTAACTAATTACAATAATCTATAAATAACTAAATGGAAATATCTAAAAAATAAAAAAACAAAAATATAGAAAATCAATTAAACTTAAACTTGAAAGCTGAATCTATGCTGAAAGCTATAGGCTAGCAACTCATTCAAATCAGCCTAAGGACCTATTGGATTATAAACAATAGAAAGAGGCAGTAACGCAATAGACTTCTATTATTACACTAAAATATAGTACTCCTTTCCATCTATATAAGCATGAAGTGCTGACTATGATGTTGAAATCTCTTTTTCACTCCTCAACATTGCTGCCATGATACAAGCCTTTTTATCTTTTTATATGAGGACTGCAGAGCACCCTAAAAAGTGATGAGGTGAGGGGACATAGATTTAAGAATATACCAGACTAGTTATACATAAGACTAACAGTGGTGGGGCTCAGGTTCAAGCTGCAAATTTAGTAGATATTAATATCTAAGATATAGTCCCCCTCCAGCCCTTACCACTGTAGTCCATCTACAATATGTGTATCACTATCCCCACCCCCCCTAACTTTTTAGGGTCCTCCACAGCCCCTGACTATGGTATCTGCGTTCAAAGCTTTTTATACTACTTCTTGCATTGCTCCACGTGTCATTCCACGTGTCACGAACTAGATACTTCCGAGAATCCTGCAATCCGATTGGCTAACGTACTCACTATCTATTAATAGTAATGGCCTTGTCCATAGGGAGCCCAATAACGATATCAGAGTTAACGATTAAAAAAAAAGGGAAAAAATCGTCATTATGATTATTTTTTCAATATTTGAGTATTTAACCCCAAGGTAATGATATAATTCACAATATAAGGAAATGAAAAAACCTAGCAAAAATGCACTAAAGATTTTTTCGCTCATCGTGCCACAGGTATTACTGGTGAGGGAAAAAATCCTTAAAACGGGCTAAATTCAAAAAATAACCAGACAGAGCAAAAGAAGTGTTATTTCTCAACGATCGGTTAAAATTTCGAGGCTTTATTTCACGTTTCAATGATTTTATTGAAGTTTTTGATGAATCCCCATACGTTTCCTTCAGTTAACATGACACCACAGAAACCAAGTTTGGGCTACCTGTGATCGTGCTAAATCAGCTTCACTTTAGCTTAGCGGGTTGCCTGTGGTGCTACATTACAAGATGGCGGACAGCGTGGCTTCGAAGAAGAAAAGGTAAAAAATGTAAAATTAATATCATTTCGCCGATTATTTTATCAGCATATTCAAATTCCTAAGTACTTAATCACATGTTGGATCTCTTGGAAGATTATAAGACATGGACGCAGACGAATTCATGGAATATGGCCTCGATAGCGACTTGAGTTTGGAGAGTGAAGAAGACGAAGAAAATGGCACGGAAAAAACAGCTGAAAAGGCTCCAGAAAAGTTAGTCTAAATCTAAGAATCTACTAGGAGACAATAAATTCCTAAATGAGGCTCGTAAAATTTATAAATTCTGCCACATTTTAGGTCTTAAGACACAAAAATTCTTCAACTTTTTCGGGAAAAAAAAACACGTGGGCTGGTTGACATCAGCTGTTTTCACGAATCGACTTTGCGGAGACTTTTTAGCTTTGGCCAAAATATTTATCTGCTAATAAATACTGTAGTTAACACTTGGGTTTTCCAGAAGCTACTATACTTAATTTTCACATGGATTTGGATAATGAAATTAAATAAAATGACTGTTTTTTTTGGTCTAGTGTCAAGTCCAAAACGTCGAAACACAAGATGCAGTTGTCGAAGCTCGAAGAAAAGGATCCAGAATTTTATAAGTTCTTAAAAGAAAATGATCAAGAATTGCTTCAGTTTAATGACTCGGATACTGATGAAGAAATAGAAGAGAGTACCGATGAAGAGGATGAAAATGATGATACTGCTCCAAAGGTTTGATCTGATGTTCAAATGCTTTTACCAATATTTGACTCAATTGAGCACAGGGACAATGAAGAGGGAGTATATGGCCCCTCTTTTTCCCTTTTGCATATACTAGTCTCTTTTATTTTTCAGTATAGACCAAATTTCATAAACTGTGAACAAAGGAATCTGGCGTGATTCGTGACTTTTGAATCACGCCAGATTACTTCGAGTCACGCAGAATCCCTTTGTTCACAACTTAAGCCTCACATCAGTGCGAGTTTTGAATTTGGTCTATTAGTCCCCACTTTTTTAGCGTGCTTGATGAAGATATTGGTAGAGAATGATGATGTCGTAGGTGGAGGTAATGATGATGATGATGATAATAATAATAACTTTATTAAAGTATCAAATTATTTAAAAATAGCCGAAGTCTACTAATTGGGAATGATGATGTATGATGAATGTGATGATGATAACAATGGTGGTGATAGTGATGAAGATACCAGTGCGGAATGTGATAATGGAAGATGATGTTGTAGAGGTCCGTTGTAGATGGAGGTGATGATGATGCATGACGATGATGCATGACAATGATTATGATGATGATGATGGTGATGATGAGGATGATGGAAGTTGAAATGATGATGACAGTGATTTTAACAACAACTTCAACTTACCTGAAGATCTTCTCTTAATCCTCAAGGGAGAGACAGCAAGACAACCAATCTGATGCTGAGGTGGAACCAGAAGATGAAGATGAACAGCCCCAAAAGAAAGGCAAACATGTTACTATGGAGATGATAAAACAATGGAGGAAGGAACTTGAGGTCAATAAAATTAGAATATGACTAGTTATTTGTCCCATTGTTGAGAGGACACTTGTGCATCCAGTAAAGCCTTCCTGTAGAATAACCTTTATATAATTTACCTTGATTCAGAAAATGTCATTGCATGGTTTACATCAAGTCATCAAAGCCTTCAGAGCAGCAGTACATGGTGCTCTAGATGAAGTCTCT